CCCCGCCCCCCCCCCCACCCGGCCCTGAAACTACTTCTGTAAAAAGTCTGAGCCGCCCGCATCTCGGCGGAGGAGGGCAGGAGGTGGGGGAGGCGAGGCGAAGTCGATACGCCGGGTCCTTAACCTGTAATTGCACCTTCTAGGGCTGAGCAGAAAGGGCCCCTCTCTGCCCACATCCCGCCCGCGCGACCGGGAGACCCGCCGCTGCCGCCGCCGCCGCCGCCCGGCTCCGAGGGATCCCGCCGGACCGGCCCCTTCCACTGCGGCTCACTCTGCCCTGCCTGGCGCCAGTCCTGGATCGCCGGCTTCCTATTTCCACCGGACTGGGCTCCTCTCCACTCACTTTATCATCCCGTTCCAGGTGGACCCTAACCTCCCGCAAGCTCCCTCCCCCAGAAGCACCCCCCCGCCCCGCAACGATGCGCCCCCCAAAGCGCAGGCTCTCTGAAACACCTCCCAGAGTCTCTCCCTTGAAGTGGACCCGGTCATACCTCCTTCTCGCTCTCCCCGCTTCGTTGTCTCTCCCCCCCACACCCCATCTTTTCCTGTTCCCTTCCTTCTTGCTCTCCTCCTTTGCCTTTCCCCCTCATCTGCTTATTTCTTGCAATTGGAGTTTTATTCTTTATGAGCGTTTGCCACACAGCCACCCTCCCACCCCTCTGAAAGACTCCCTCCCCGGCCCTCCCCCTCGCCAACAACCCAAAAGACAGAACAAAATACACGCAAGGCAGACACAAGGCCAGAAACTTACCTGCTTTCAACCAGCTGCAAAGTCAAGGCTCACTTAAGCTCCCCCCCAAAAATCAATTGTCCTTCCTTTTTAAAGGTTTGCTCTCTCCTTGGGAGGGGGTGGGAAACACCTTCTGGTTCCCAACTCCAGGCAGTCACTCTTTACAATTTATTTTGTCGTACATCATTTGATCACCATGAATTAGCAACAGCAAGAAAATGTAGGAGAGGGAGAAAAGAGAGAAAGAGAGAGGGAGAGAGAGAGGGAGAGAGAGGGAGAGTGAGAGAGGGAGCAGAGCTTTCTGCAAGAGAAGAAGAAGAAAAAATGTACGTGTGACAAATTATGCTACCAAGAAACAACACATCATTATCCTTGGGCCTGGGGCTCAGTGAGTCGTAACGAGAGTAATAGGAAATCCACGGTTGGGGAGAGAAACGGTCGTGCTTGGCCAGTAGAGAGAGACCATACAGGGGGATGGATGCTGGAGAGACTCGCAAAATTATGGCTCAAGGCTATTGTAAAAATTGTCGAGCGTAAATGACTGCGATTTCAAACATCTTTGGAAGAAAGAAGGGGAAAAAGCGAGCCCCCCTCCCTCCGGCTCCCTCTTTCTCCCTCTCTCTTCTCTCTCTCTATAAAGAACCGTCAAGTTTTACTGCACATTGCTAATTAGTCAATTTCTCTCTGCCTTCACAGGCTGGCGACTTCGCTGCTGAGCTGAAACTGCTAATTTCTGTGACCAGCTTTTTTCTTAGCTGTGATCTGGATGAATGAGTAGCTGTCTCACAGAGATGACAAAAATAAACTCTAATCCCCCCCAAAATTTCCACTACATCTTTCTCATGCATAGATTTATGATCTTCAAGCGCTCTGTGCAATATGCAAACTTTTTGTGTCTGTAGATGTGCTGTTGTTTCCAGATTTCTCTACATTGCTGCTTTTCCCTTTCACTCTGCAACCCCCCACCCCCCTACACTGGGAAATGCAGAAACCGTCTGATCTCAAAGTCTGCCAAGATGCCACTTTATAGTGTCTTGGTGTTTGGGGTTTGGGTCTGACTTGGAAGTCAGGAGTCCTTGCCTAAGAACTGAGTGGCTGAGTGTACAGCGGGGGTGGGGGGACGTAGACAGAATAGAGGACAGCTCTTCGCTTTACATTTGCTTCCCTGCATTATTCAAGCTTTATGATCTTGTTGGAAAACATATTTTCTCCATCATTTTGTCGGGTTATACAACCATCTCGGAACTTCTCTGTCAGCTCTTCAGCAGGAAGGGTTCAAAAGTCACTTTATTTTTTTAATTGGAAAATTATCCTATTGTCAGATTTGCCTTTCAATTAGGAGTCTTTGATTTGCAGGAGCTAGAATCAAGTGCTAGGAGAGCCAGCTGCAATTTCACAAATGTAACCTTTAAACTTTGGAGCTCATCTGATATATAAGGTCGATCACAGAGAGCTCACATTTTTGACCCTGCTTAGCATGCAAAATGAACCCCAGCATGACTCTGGAATTTTAGCTGTACCAGAGATTCATGTGCATTTTGGTAGAGGACGTGTTCTCTTAGACTTATCTCATGATGTATTGCGCCCTTACATTTATAGCCCTGCATTTTGGTTGTCAATGGGGGCTGGAGGTGTCCAAGAAAGGAAGGAAAAAAAAAAGAAGAAGCAGGAAAAGGAAGGTAGGTATGCCCTTGAAGAAAATGAACATGGAAGAAAGCTGGATCTGAGTTAAATTGAGTTTTGCTGGCTATTAAGTATATGAACATGATTCATTCTAACTGATATGTGCTCTGATTAGTAAACATATTAAAATACACATCAGGGTACTACTGAAATCCTGCCTTTTAACCTTCCCCTTTGATTGGTAAAAGATGAAAGACACCTGCTTAAGGGAGGGGAAAACCTGAAAATTCTTTGGTTCAGAAATCAGGAGTTTCCCACTTACAATGATCAACATTAATATGCATATGGGATATTTACTCTTAAATAGACTAGGCAGGATCCAACCCAAGCGTTTATCCCTCACAATGGTCTTTCTTTATCAATATCCTAGGTTGTTTGAGAGCAAGACTACTTTATTCAATCTTGCTGAGATGCTGTGTTCTCATAGTCATATTTATAATAAAAAAAAGCTCAAATACATGATAAGATAATAGAAAAGGATTTTTTTTTTTTATTAGAGCAGGGAAAGAAAAGAGAACAGATTATCCAAATCTTCTGGCCTTACTTTTTTTTTTTAATTTCTCTTATTTAGTAGATCTTGAATAGGAAGACTGTGTAACTGTAATTTAGTGCCTTTGGGGGGTTCTGTTTCATTAGCAATTAAAGTTATCAAATGTGTGAAGTGTCACCCAACTCTCAGACACTAAAAGTACAATTTTTATGTTTTGATGTTGATCTTTTATGAGCTTCCAATGACATATTTGGAACTAAACCCAAAGGCAAATTAAGAGTATTGATCACTTAAATTATTGGCATCTTTCCATTTTATCATAAGGGAATTAGAAATTAAGGTATGTTTTCTAGACCTTGCAGTATCTTAATTTTGAATTTCTACATATATGTATATATATATATATTTATTGGTGGGATATATTATTGATCACTAATTATGATTACCAGGACTTCTGCCATTTCCAAACAATAGAAAAGTCACATTTCAAAAATTTTAACTACCTATAATTTCAATGCTTATTTAACAACTTGGGTAGAAGGGAAAGGGGGTGGTTAGGGATTGCAATTCTTAAACAGCTGTTGAAGTGGTTAGGCTGCTTTCTTCTGGATTTTGAAGTTACACTATTTGAGAATGTTTTAAATTCAGAAAAATTACAATTATGGCTCTTTTGTAAGCAATTAAAAAAAGAATATTGATAATAAAAAAATCCGTTCACAATCTGTATATAAACTAATGTTTCTATCGTGTACATTACACACATCCAATATCTTGCCCTGGCTTTGACTGAAATTATTGCAGAACTCACAAATGATATGACACTATTTACAATAAATCCCGTTATGAGAGATTCAATTTGCAGCAATCAGATGCTAGCTACTAAGCGATTGTAAGTATTTGAATTTTATCCTACTTCACTGTTCAACATACAGAAATTGCATCTGTGTGTTTGATCTGTCCTGCTGAGCACTACCAGCAGCTTGCATCTCTGCCACTATTGTTTTTAAAATGGCAGGAAGGACGTGACTAGTCAAGAGCACTCAGCGGGATGGATTCCACATGGCTTAAGAGGAGCCAGAATTGTCTTACAAAAAAAATTAAATATGATCATGTAGTCATCTAATTCAAGCAGTCTTCGTACTTCAACAGAATTGTCAAATTTATTCATCAGTGAATCTGCATTTAAACTATGTACAGTGGAAAGCTGCTGAGCCTGCTGGCACTGAGCAGTCTAACCAGAGCTACTACCAGCTCTGAGCAGGCTGGTCAGCCTTTAGGGTAGCAGGGAGCCCGGTGACTCTGTGGTTCATATTGCTTAGGGCCATTTCACCTCACTGGGTGAACTCAAGTTTCTCTTCAGAGCAGATCAAGAAGGGTTTTGCTGCCTAACAGGAGGGGACGTCCACACTGAAACTTGCTCTCCTTCTTGACATTTTTGCTTAAGATGTATGAGTC